GGCAGTTTCACGGGTGTTCTTAAAGTGAACACGAAGATTTGAGCCTCTTGATTTGCATGATTTTGTGGGGTTTTCTGGGTCAAGAGAGTAGCGAACCATTTTCACAGGTCACCTCTGGCCGCTTACAGGAAGAGGAAGAGCCTATTAATCTGTTTTTACAAGTAGCTTTTTGTTTGTTGGTTTTCTGTATGGATGTTTTGTTTCAATTTTGTTGATATCTACTCTAATTTTCATGATTTATTTCATTCTGTTTATTTAAGTTTTAATTTACTTTTCCAATTCTAGTTTTTAAAACTGGAAACTTTGTTAGTATATATTTGCAATATATAACGTTTATATTCCTTGTGTGAAGTTGGTACAGTTACATAACAGAACTTTACTTTAGTTCCTATTTGTGTCTTCCACTCTTTTTCTGTATGTTGTGGTTTCACTTGAGAATTTTTTATAATACCACCTTCTCTCGTTTTTAGATTATAAGTTATAAATCTTCAAGAAAATTTTGTTGCTTGTCTTAAAGTTTGCAATACAATACACATTTACATCTAATCTTAGTTTACCTTCAAATAATACTGCATCATTTATTGATAATAGCAAAATTACCTAATTCTTCTTTTCCATCCATTTTCTTACTGCTGTCATTCATTTGCCTTACATATAAGCATTTATAAGCACATGTATAGACATATATATTATAATCAAACATGTTGTTGCAATTATTTTGAACATACATTTATCTGTTAGATCAACAAAGAATAAGAAAAATAAAATTTTCCTTTACTTTGCTATTCCATCTCTGCAGCTCTGTATGTAAATATATACATCCCCTATATATCCTTATATATATGTATTCATATATATATATCCTAATAAATATACACTTGTTTCTAACCTACAGCTGGTTCTCAACTTACACCAGTGTTATATCTAAAAAAAACTCATTGTAAATTGAACATACTGTAAGTTCAATTTGCATTTAATGCACTTTACCTAACCCACTAAACATGACAGCTTAGAAGAGTTCACCTTTATTGTGCTCAATACACTTATGTTACCCTTCAGTTGAGAAGAATCAGCTAACACCAAGCATATTTTTTAATGAAATGTGGAATCTCAGGTATATAGACAGAAGAACTGCAATAATCATATGTTCAAACTATAGAAAATCAAAATTAAGGCAAGCTCCTGAAAGAAATCAGAATGAAAAATCTTTTATCTGTAGAGGAATATTACACTTCACTTTTCACTAAGAAACCATGCAAGCAAGAAATACATGGAGGATACACAGATGGGCTTTTTGTAGACATGGTGGAAGTGAAATCACTAAACACAATATCCAAAAAATTCCAGCAACAAAGTACATTGTAGAGTATGAGTCATATACTGTTATGATTGTGTGGTGGGCCAGGAGCTGCTGCTTGCTGCTGCCCTCCAGCATCTGGAGTGTCACACCATTTAAAAGCAGCCCAGGAAAAGACTAAATAATTCCTTAGGAATGTGGTATAAAGTATAGGAAGAGGACTAGCATTCTATGGTCCTGTGATTCTCAGTCTTTTATTGGGCCTCTAACTTTTTATGCTGAGCATTAATCATGCCTCTTAGTACTTCCCTACTCCCTTAGGTGGGACAAAATTGTTTTATAGGCCTGGAATTTGGCTATCTTCCTTAGCTGGAGTATCAGTGTCTTTGTAATCCTTTAAAAATTACCCAAAACTCCTTGGGTCTTGATGAAGTGAATTACTGGATTTGTTGTCTTCATGTTTTTATATATAATTTAAAATTTTTCTCTATAAGGTTTGCATACTACAGAAATATAGTAAGTTATTACGCACAATTTAAAATTCTAATCTGCTGTTTCTTTCTTCTGTAGAAAGTCATTTTTTGGTTTGGGTTCATCCTTAAAATTGGCATCATTTATTTTAAATATTGTATTTTTTCATCTTCTGAAGAAAAAATATGAAGGAAAAGATGGCAAGACATTGGAAAATGGAGGAAAAGTCATAAATGAAGCAAACTTAGAATCCTCAAATAACAACAAATATTTTGTACCTTCTGCAACTGTCAAAGAAACATATATTTAAAGGAAGAAAAAGATCCTCCTTTCACTGTTTCCAAAAATAATATATTGATGTGGTAATATGCTATTTTTTAGTTCCTGGTCATTTCACTAAGTATCCCCACAATGTACAATAATAGAAAAGTGAAAAAGGTTATTATGAATGAAACAATAAAGAAAAAGGAATAGGAATAGTTATTGTTTGGGTACTGCTATGAACCTGTGGTTAACATTGCAATATATGATCCATGAAAAGCTAAAATGAGAGGCCTGGTTAATATGTAATAGAGAAAAAGATATTTGCTCAGTTAATTGTAACTCTTAATAATATCAGTGACTAGAAACTAGGAAGAGATGAAAAAAAGAAGAGAAATTTGTACCTAAATAAGGCAAAAAGACTGGTATCTTAGAAAAGAGAATGGATAATGTTATTCTAGCCTGAAGTCTAGCCTGATGGAGGCTTCATGCAATCATGAATATGTATTATTCATATAGGTCACACATTTCACAGACATCATTAACTGAAAACTTGAAATTGTGTTTGACTAATGAACAAGGTGCATCTTCTTCAAGTAAAATACTGCTGAAGAAATTGAGATACTAAAAAATTTGCAAGCTCTGATTATCAGAAAACATATTAAAGAATGTAAATTTTTATCAGAGGCATAGAAATGGATTAAGAATAACTGACTTTGCAGAAAGCAAATGTTATTTAATAGATATGTTTTAATTTTACCTATCTTCTCTCTGGGAGACATAAAGTCTATACCAGATCAAAAATCAGCTATCATCATTCCGTGTTTTTAAAAATTTCTTCAGTCATTTTTTTGTTTTGGTGTGAAAAACTCCATATTTTCATATTTGTACCAGACGAGCAAGAAGTAGAGTGAATGAGAAAAAATATTTGAATGGTGTATTCTCTAGTGGCACTGACTCTTATAATGAAAGCTAGAGGTTGCACATTTTTCCATTCTCATTGTTTGAAAAGGTTTTATGCCTTGTTTGCATTAGAAGTTAAAAAAGTATACAATAATATTTCACTCCAACCATTTTGATGTAAAACATTGATAATTCTTCCTGGATATAGCATATAAAATTTCTGTTTGTAATGATAAGACCCCTTGATTGAAGACAAAGTACAGGTCAAGAGAAGATATACTTGTGAGTAGAACAATGTCGTGAATGCTGGCTTGAAGCTAAAAATTGTCCTGGAAGTCATACATATTAACCTATTTTCAGGCTGTAGACTTGAGAAAAGATTTATTAATCCAGCAGAAGTTTGGGACAAAACCCTTATATGCTAGGTTATTGGGTGCCATATTAAAAATATTATGCTAGTGGGAAGGTATGCTATGTCTCATTAAAATGAATAGAAATATTGCGGTAAATATTGTAGTAAATAAAATCTTACTAAGAAAACAGACAATATCTTCAATATTTATTGAATAATTATTGAATGGCAGTTATTTGTCAGATAGAATGGGATGAGAAGAAGTAAAAACAAAAATGACACTCCTCTGTTAGCATACTCTTTAAAGGGGGAGATGGACATTCCAAATTAAATATGCAATATTATAAATTAATATAACAAATTTACAAATATGACAGATTCAGTGAAAGAGGAAAATTATTACAAAATAAACTTCAATTTATTTGACTGACTGTAGAATTTTAGAATCCATAAAAATGCTAATCATTAATCCAGTAACATTTATGAGATAAAAATATAAATTTTAGGGAAAAATAGACCATAAATTCAATAGAGAGATGAAAACAGTAAGGCAAGTTTTCAAGGAATTAAATTAAGATAAGCATATATTCAAAATATACATCGAATAGGGTTAAAAGTAGACAATGACTGAAAATATCAAATCATTGATGGCATTAAATTTAAATTCTCAATATTAACAATGTGGAAGAAAATGATAGAGGGAATTTGTGGAAGAAGGGCTTAGAAGGAAACCTGAAACATCAACCTAGGAAGTATGAAATTCCTAAGAAATTGCAGTTAGACAAAAAGCATCAGTCAAAGACAAAATGGAAGAATCACTTCATCCTATGAAGAAAGATGAACATGTAGACCAGTCTCCATTTGCACCCCATCTCCCACCTCCATCTGTTTTTGTGCAATGAACCTTTTACCATGGTCCTTCTTTTTCCTAAAATGTTCTTTGTTTTCTCTATTTAGCTATTTTCAGTGTTCAGATCACCCTGCCTTAAAATTTTCTAATATCATCGCTTGTTAAAAGTTTATTATATCCATAGCAACATAGCACTTATCAAATGGTAATATGGTCAAGTGATAATTATACATTTATTTATGATTATTGAATAACTAAAGGCTCTCTCAGTAGTCACAAATTCCAGGAAAGTAGAAATTGAGTTGTTTTACACATTGAATATAGATAGACACTACTGATAGAGAGAGAGAGAGAGAGAGAGAGAGAGAGAGAGAGAGAGAGGAGAGTGGTAACAGAGGGTTAATTTAGGGAATTATTTGAAGTACTTATGAAGGCTGAGAGATCACAGGCAATCTGCTAGCTGGAGACCCAGGGAGGCCAGTGGAATGGCTAAACCTCTGCTGAAAGTCCTCAGACCCAGAGAAGCAGATGGTGTACTTCTCATTTACAGGATTAAGGTCTGAGAAGGCTGGAAGTCTTCTGATAAAAGTCCCAGAGCCATGTTCCAGGGCAGGAAAAGAGTATCCCAGCTCCATGAGAAAAGAGATAGAGAAATTTTTCCTTTCCTCAACTTTTTTTTTTTGATTTATCCAGGACCCAGGACTCAGGAACCTAGACAATTAAATGGTACCTGCCCACATTAAGAGCATCTTTCCTCTCAGTCAATGACCTCACATGTTGATGTCATCTGGAAACACCCTCACAGACACATCCAGAAATGAGACATTTCTAGCTCCCTACATACCCCTTAATCTGGTCAAGTTGATGTCTAAAAGTAAATGCCACATCTATCTATTTAATTCCTAACATATAGCTTAGTGCCCAACACACAGGAGTTGCTTTATTATTTATTTTTGGAACAATGAGTGAATGAAGGAATACACAAGCAAATTTCAAAATACCAGTCATATAAAATATGAATTCTATAGATAAGAACTTGGTAGCACATGCAAATATTAAAATACCTACAATAAAAACATGGAATGGCCATGATTATTTCAGGTGTTTGGAAAATATCTTTATTGTAAAAGGAAAAATAAGATTTAAATTATAAAAAAAGAGAAGTATCTTTTGACTGAGATCTGTGTACTAAGTACAGGAGACAAAAACATTTAGAAAATAGAAATTTTCCTGTTTGGTGAGCCCACAAGTGAAGTGGAGAACTAGATATGTAACATGATAATATGTAGTCTAATGAATGCTATTATTGAATAAAACTGTTGATGCTCATTCAGAGATATGCTAATCTGTTTTAAATTCAATATGTGTACTTTTGGAGATTTTACCAAAATAAAATGATTGATAATGATAAGAAATTTGGCAGTGGTCATTGTCATTTTCCTCTTGTGGTCCTCCTACCACTTCTGAATAGACTTTGCTTACTACATGGAAACCAGCACTCAACCTGATGCTATGATGATGACACAAGTGATGTGATTTCAGCAAAAACAGAACTCCTGGCCACTGCTCCACATTCATACCTCACACTGTGAACCCGGCTCCCTTATAATATTTGTTGTTGTACCAAATTTCATCACTAGAAGTCACTGTGATTTATGACTTGGACTCCAGTAAAATTGAAAGAGATAAAAGAGTTGACACTCGAGTTATGACCAGCCTCACATATGAACAACTTGGGTTGTGCCTGGAATTTGAATTTTAACTTATGACCCAAATCTTGAGTTATGACTCAAATGCCAGACACTTGTACAATTGTAAACAAACATGATGCCACAAAAGCTTATGTAAGAATACATAAGCATCAGTCTGAGCCTAGATGTGCATGATTTGGACAAGATTTCAGTCAGTGCTTAATATAATTATGATGATCACTGCTGTCAAAATGACCCCCCCCCAACTAGAAAAGAAGCTAAGAAAGGAAGGCAAGGTAAAGAAAGCAACCACAATTGAAAAGAAAAAGGAAATTGTGGAGAAATATGAGCGTGGCATTCATGTAGCCAGTCTCTCTGATATGTACAGCACATTGAAATCCACAGTCTCCACAATCTTACAGAGAAAAGATTTGTACAAGGAAGCTAGTGTTGCTAAAGGTGTTACTCAAATTATTAAGTCATGATCAACAGTGTCAGATTAGGTAGAAAGGCTAATATTGGTGTGGATAAATGAAAGACAGATAGCAGATTATAGCCTGAGTCTATTTCTGAAAAAGCTAGGGGTATAAATGCAGATCTCGTCTCATAAAAGATAATCTATCAACAAGTGATAATGGTGAAACATTTCATGCAAGTAAGAGATAGTTTCACAATTTTGAATCAAGAACTGGGTTTCATAGTGTGACTAGGCTTGGTGAACCAGCCAGTACTGATAAAAGGGCTGCTGAAAATGACATACATCACTTCGAAACAGTGACACAGAGAAATGGCTTTTGCTCTCATCCAATTTTCAACTGTGCTAAAACCGGCCTTTTCTGGAAGAAATTGCCCAGGAGAACATATACTACTCAGGAAGAGAAGAAAATGCCAGGCCACAAGCTTGTGAAGGATAGGCTAAACTTATTGCTATGTGCCAATGTGAATAGTGACCTCAAGATAAAACCTCTCTTGATTTATCACCCTGAGACCTCTAGAATGTTCAGAAAACATAGTCATGAAGAATAGGCGAGGAGTCATGTGGAGATCTAACACAAAAGCTGGGGTAACAAGAGTACTTTTTCTGGAGTGGATCAGGTAGGCTTTCTCTCCTTCTGTTAAGAAATATCTTGAGAACAAAGGTTTACCACTCAAGGGTCTCCTCATCATGGACAATGTGCCAGTTCACCCACAAGATTTAGAAAAATTGGTTGGAGAATTCCCATGGCTACAGTCAAGTTCCTCTCACCTAATACAACTCCTCTACAGAAACCTATGGCCCAGCAGATTATAGCTAACTTTAAGAAGCTATACACCAAGGAACTATTCCTGAAGTGCTTCCAGATGGTCTGAGATACAGATTTAACCCTTAAAGAGTTCTGGAAAGAACATTGCAATGTCCTTTCCCATGTGGGGTTAATTGAGAAATTCTAGGCCAATGGATCTCTAAGGACACAGAAATCTGCCTGGGAGAAGTGTGGCCTAAAGTTATACAGGAGAGACATTTTGAAGGCTGGGTAGAGGAGCCTGACCCTTCAACTGACCCTGTGGTTGATGACACTGTCACTATAACAGAGTCCATAGGCTTGTAGCCAGATAGTGATGATATTGAGGAACTGAAGGAACATTCAGGAAGAACACTGGAGGAGGAATACTCAGAAGAATTGTCTACACAGGAATTTCAGCAACTTCTGGCTGACCAAAAGAGAATGGCAGTTGAGGAGCTTTCTGGAGGAAGAGGAGAATAAACAATCAGTGCAGCAAAGTTCTTCTGAAATGAAGGAATTCTTGAAAAAATGGACAGAGCTACAAACAATTTTAGAGAAGACCCACCCAGGGTTCTAGTTCTCTTCTGGTTCCAAATGAATTTCAAAATTGCTTTTTAAAATTTCTTTGAGGTATGCTATTGGTATTTTGATTGGCACTGTACTAAATCTGTATAATATAATAGTTTTGAAAGTATGGCCATTTTCACTGGCCATTGCTTCTGCCCATCCAAGAACAAGGGATATTGTTCCATTTTCAGATATTTACTTTGATCTCCTCTTTCAGCATACTGTAATTTTCAATGTAAATGTCTTTTACTTTTTTTGTTAGATTGATTTCTAAGTATTTCATTTCTTTGATGCTATTGTATAAGGTGTGGTTTCATTAATTTCTCTCTCAGTGAGTTTGTTATTTGTGTACAGGAATGCTATTGATATTTTTTTTCTTAAATTCTTTTATAGGTACATTTTAGGTATGTAATACATTTACATTTATCACTGGGTGCTTGTACCTGTACATGATGTATCTTGGTTCTTATTTTTTTCACCATTAGCTGTACACCCTTCACCCCCTCCACCCTTCCCTATTTACATAGACTTCATTTCTAGTTTTTTCTTTTCTCATGATTTTTCCTTTCCCTTCTTTCCTTTCTCCTTCCCCTCCCACCACCCCTACACATTAGGACCTTTTCCTATTTCAAATTATCAGTTATTCATTTTAATCATTTTAATCCTTATTTACACTTTCAGTTTCTCACACTAGAGAAACTATTCAGTATTTACATGTGTGTCCTATTTCACTT